TCCATCAAGCCTTCCATGTGCCTACCCAAATGGACACAAATTTTCCTTCAGCAGATCTTGAATAGCACTTTGTACCTCTCCAATGCTTTGATTGTAAGATCAGGTTTTAGAGCTTTACCATCTACTCCAATTCCCTCATTTTACAGATGAGAAAATGGAAGCCCAGAGAAAGGAGGTGACTTGCCCAACATCACACAGGCAGTTAGAGGCAAAGCTGGGATTTAAACCCAGCTCCTCCTACTTAAAATCCAGTGATCTTTCTACTAAATCACTCCACCTTATGTCTCATCTTCTTTGTGTATGAGTCATCTCTCATAATAATAACAATAATAATTCATATCGATATAATCCTTTGTGGTTTGCAAAGCACTCTGCCCCCCCCAACCCTATGAGGAGGTAGTGTAAAAGCAGTTATCCTCATTTTTACAGATGGGGAAACTACAGTAAAGACAGGAGCTGTGACTTGCTCCAGTTCCCTTCAGCTTCCTGACAGCAGGTACTATGTGTCATAAATCATCATTAAAACTCTTCATAACCGGGCCCCTTCCTATCTTTCCAGACTCCTGCCACACTTTGCCCACTTGTTGCTCTCCTCACACAATGCTTCTTCTCCCATCTCCTAGCTTTTGCATTGGCTTGTACTTGGGCTTGGAATGCAAATCTTCCTCACTGCTGCTTCTAAGAATCCCTGCAGCTTCCTTCAAAATGGAGCTCAAAAATCACCTTCTGCAGGAGGCTATTTCCAGTCCCCTTCATGACTGCCAGTACTTTTCCCTCTAAGGTTACCTTTCATCTACTCTGCACGTATCTTAAATATATACATACATGTCATGTTCCCCATTGGAATCTAAGTTCCTAGTGATCGGAGACTATTTCTGCTTTTTCTTTGCACCCCCAACATGGAGCAGAGCTCTCTGCATGTAATAAGCCTTGATAAATGCTTGTTCATTGATTGATTTTTGCATCTCCCAACATCTAGCACAGGTCTCTGTACATGGTAGCCATAATATAAATGTTTGTTGAGTTGATTTGAGTTCTGACATCCCTCAGAGCTTGGAATGCACGTGTGCTGGGGAAAGAAGTGAAGTAGTGAGGAGGAGGGTGTGTGGTGCTCCTGGGGAAAGCAGAACTTGACAGGAACACAAGAGTTGACTAAACACTGGGAGGCGAGCTGTCTTTGTTCCTGCCTACTACATTCTCAGCTTTCTAGGGGCATCATCTCCCCTGATGTGCCAGTTAACTGGGCTAATTTCACAGCCCTCCCTGAAAGGAAGCTAGGACTCCCACGACTGCTGCACGCCCCTCTTTCCCCAAAGGATGGGAGCCAAACAGGATGGTAACAGAAACGACCAACCCTAACCCCATCGTTGAATTTTTAAAAGTTTAATATAATATTGCCTTTAAAAAAAAATCTAAGTCACTTCTAGATATTACACTTCCCTCTTCCTTACCTCCCACCATGAGCCCTCTAGTGAATGGGCGAATGAATGAATGAATGAATGAAATAAAAAAGCATTTATTAAGTGCTTATACTATGTGGTGCAGGTTCTGTGCTAAGTGATGGGAATGCAAACCCACAAAGCAAGATAGTCACTACTCTCCAGGAACTTGTATCTAATGGAGGAGAAAACAACAGTTATAAGGGAACAGTGGTCACAGATGGAGTGTTTTTTGGTCTAGAATGTCACAGGGATGGAGTCATTGGACATGTGATTGACATACCCTTTCCAGAAATATTAGTGTTAATTACTGTTCCCAGAGCAAGAGGTGGAAAGAATGGGACACTGCTGAGTTAGATGTCGGGAAGATGACTGGAATATAGTACAGAGTGTTTAGTATGGGACTGGCTAGGTTTAGTGTGCTCTCACCACTTAGGAGAACATGGACCCATAGCTGGAGGACTAGGTCTGAACTGATGATGGAGAGGGAACCCCAGTAAGGCTGGAAGGTGGCCAGGAAACAAAGAAAAACACCAAGGCAAAACTAACATAGGGACTACCTCTACAATCAATGCCAGGGTCCCCATAGCCATACCAAAAGGAGGAGAGAGATAAAAATCCTCATCTCCAGAGCTGGCTGGTCATTACAATTACAGTCCTCAACCTTTATTTTGATCCATTTCAGTTTTCTTATCTATTACATTATTGTAGTATTTTCTCCTGGTTTTGCTAACTCAGCTCCACATTGAATTTAAACAAATATTCCAATGTTTCTCTGAATACTTTAAATTTGGTTCTTATGCAATTCACATAGCACAATCTGTTCAGCCATATATAATCAGCAGACATCCAATTTTCCCCCAGTTTTTTGCTACTACAAAAGAAATATCGTTATGAATATTTTGTAACATGGGTAACCTTTCTTTCTGTCTTTAGCCTCCTACTTGGGACCTTCCCAGTGGATGGCACCTCCCCTCCAATGCCCTTGTATTTATTATATGTCTGTCTTATGCATGCTTATACTTACACATACTTGTTTCTCCTGATAAAATATAAGCTCCTTGAGGGAAGGGATTATTTCATTTTTGATTTTGTATGGGCAGTGCCTAACACAATGCCTAGCACAAAACTGGTGATTAACAGATGCTTGTTGATTAATTAAGAGTTTGATGGATTAATAATAATAATAATAATAACAGGATTTATATAGCACTTTAAAGTTTGCAAAGCACGTCACATAATGTTAACTCATTTGATTCTCACAACAACTCTTGAGAAGTGGGTGCTATTATTATCTTCATTTTAGAGTTAAGGAAACTGAGGCAAAGAGAGGTTAAGTAATCTGCCCAAGATCACATAGCTAGCCAATTCTCACAGAGGGAGAAAATGAGGTTCTAGGAAGAGAAATGTCCTCCCCAAGGTCCCATGTTGAATCAATGATAAAGTTGGTAATAAAACACAGGTCTTGTCACTCCCAGCCTTGGGTTTTCCTTCTTTCATCAAACTCCCGTGTTTTGCAGGAAGGAACAAGGGCCGGGAAGAGATTTCAGAGAATGAGAATAGAAGAAAGGAAAAACTAGCTGGAAGCCAGAAAGTATTTAGTACATACCTCCTGGGGTCGTAGCCTGTGCACTGTGCTTTTAGGGAGATAAGTGGAAGCATTGTCTCATTCATGGAGGAGATTACATATATATATAATACATTACATATATATATGTTATATATATAATATGTTATATAATATGTTATATACATATAATTATTGGGGGACAAGACACAAATAAGAAACTTTTTAGAGAATAATAGAAAACATAATCAGACTAGAGTGTGTGTAAAACTAAGAAGTAAAGATTAGTATAACTAAAGAAGCCTTTATGGAGGAAGTGAGGGAGAGATTTACACTATAAATGACCCATTGGGGGCAGCTAAGATGGCACAGTGGATAGAGCCAGCCCTGGATTCAGGAAGACCTGAGTTCAAATATGGCCTCAGACACTTGCTCGACACACTAGCACTTACTAGCCCTGTGACCCTGAGTAAGTCACTTCACCCCATTGCCTCGAAAACAAACAAACAAAAAACCCAATAAGATTGTTCCTCCAGGTCTAAGTCATTCAAAGTAACCTGTGCAAAGAAGGAAAGGAAACTAGGTAAGCAGAGAACATGAATCTCTAAGCTTTTCTCTAAGAACACTTTGACAGAGATGAGTGGGCATTCTTAATGATTTTCTTCAAAGACATGCAGAGGGACTAAAGGGGAGCAGAATGAGAAAGAGGACTAGGAGTCACGGGATATGGGTTCTAGCTCTGGTACTATCAATAACTCTCTGTGTGGCCTCCTTCAGTCACTCAACCTTTGAAACTCATTCAGTTTCCATATGTGTAAAATGAGGTTAGACAAGATAATGATTTTTAAGGAGCTTTTGCCTCCTGATACATTATGTTTTTATGTTAACTTGTCCACGTGTTCAGTTTCCTCCCTTTCCCAGCTTCTTGCAGGAGGGAAGAGAGGATATGTCAATGCACCTGAGAGACCTCTCAGACATGTGTGATGCCCCAGAAGGATGGTTCCATTCCAGGCTCTAACCCAGTAAGCTCATGCCACCTTGAGCAAGTCGAGTTCCTTCTCTGGGCCTGAGTTTCTTCAGCCATACAATAAGGGCGTTGGTCTAGAAAACCGCTAACATCCCTTCAAGTCAAAAACCAAAACAAAACATGCTTCTCCAAGTCTTTTCGTCTTGTGCCCTCTGTAGTCCTATGGCCATAGCTGGCTCTGAGCAGCGCTACCAAATGCAGTCCAAAAGGCTTCTCTAGTAAGGGAACCACAGACCGTGTACCAGATTAAGGCCGACCCAAGGTTGAGTCCTGGCAGTTGGGGACTGGAGTGGGGGTAGGAGGAGAGAGGGAAGGAGCAGAGAGTGGGGAGTGACCATGCCATGTGTCGGCAGGATTATAGCACGGCTGTACGGTGCAAGACACATATCTAGGACCCCATTCTTGCCCCACATCTTGCTCCGCATCCCGCAGCAGCTCCCCAAAGCTCCAGAGGTGGGGTCTCTCGGTGCCAGATGGGCGTAGAAGGCAGGGTCAGAGCAGGCCGTCCCAGGCCATGCCATGCCACTCCAAGAGGCGAGTTGCCGATCGCAGCCTGGACGGCGAAGGGGTCGCTGTTGCCTCGAACATTCATCCCAGTCCCCCGGACCCGCGCCCGCCCCCCTCCGCCTATTGTTCGCGGACCCTGCGCGTCACCGAGCTGGCGGGGCGGAGAGACTTGACGGGGCTGCGCGGCGGCAGAGGAGGAGCGGAGGGGCGGAGAAGGGAAGGAGGGAGAGGAATAGGAGGAGGGGGGGGAGGATGAAGAGGTCCCACCACGGCGTGGCGAGGAGACCCGCCTAGAGCCGCAGCCTGAGCGCTGGAGCTGGAGCCGCCCTAGGGCGCAGCGCGAGCCTCAGTCTCAGAGCGTAGATAGACCTGGGATCTCTGAGCGCCTCGGCAGCCCCGATCTCAGCGCAGCGGGAGTCCCAGCCCTTCTCGGGGTCGGGAGGTAGACTAACGGCTCCAGCCCTCGGGGGCTGCCCCTCTTGGGGGGGGGGGGTGCGGTGGACGGGGATGAAAGAGGGTAGCTGCCGCCGCGCCCCGGCTCGGTGAGCAGGAGGCGAAGGAGGATGGAGGCAGCGGAGCTGGAGCCCGGTAGGGGCTCGCCGTCCCCGCCGCCGCCGTCGCCCCCACCACCCCCGCTGCCGCCACCTTCCCCTGCACCCCCGGAGAAGAAGAAGATCAACCGTGCCCCATCCCCTGCTAGACCCAAGGACGTCCCCGGCTGGTCGCTAGCCAAGAGCCGGCGGAGCAGCGGCAGCAACCCGGGCTCTCCTGCCTCTCTGTCCGGGAAGGCGGGGCCCGGCCAGTCCCGGCCCGAGAAGAAAGGCCGCAGCGGCCCGCAGACCGGGGCTCGGGGCTCGGGAAAGGGTGCGCCAGGCCGAGCCGGGGCCAAAGCGAAGGGGCGTCCCCGCGACGAGCCCCCGGGGCGGGCCTCGCAGCAGCCGCTGCTGCCACAGCCGCCGCCACCGACGGCCCTGAGCCTCACGGACAGCAGCTCCGAGGTGTCGGACTGCACATCCGAGGAGAACAAGCTGCTGTCCTTGGAGCTGGCTCTGAGCAGCGATACAGAGTCAGGCCGCGGCAGCGGCAGCGGCAGCGGGCAGGAGCGACCGTCTGGGAGCGGAGCCGGCGCTGGATCCGGGGTCCGCGTCCAGGGGCACCCGGCGCCGCGCAGCCCTCAGCCGTCCCGGCTCGCCTCCCCCGGCGCCTCGCCTGTGCCGGATGAGCAGTCCGCTGCGTCGCTGGGCAGCAGCCGTCTGCCCCTTAGTACGTCGCTGGCCTTCTCAGATCTCACCGAGGAGCTGCTTGACTGCGGGCCCGACGGCTTCGTTCGGGAGCTGGAGGAGCTGCGCTCGGAGAACGACTACCTCAAGGTAGTGGGGGGCGCAGGAGAGGCCTGACTGGGAATGCTTAATGTGGGGGTTAAGTTAAAGTCTTCCTGGGTATCCACTGTGGAATATTGGTGACCCCAGTGTGGGGATGTTCTGGGTGCCGCTGGAGGTGGGGTGTCCCAACGTGGAGGTATTAGGATCCCCACTATGGAGTATCGGGACCTCACTGGAAACCTCTAACATGGGGATGTTGGGGACTAATGGGGGGCTTCAGCTTGAAATGTTGGTTACCTCAGTATTATTGGAAGGTGACCTGGCCTCTTGAGCCCTGGGCTCTTATGGGACCCTCTATGTTTAGCCTCCAGAATGAATTACATATCTCCCCCTTTTAAGTTCAGAAAGGGAGCGTTTCAGAATTTGAATTTCTCTTCAAGTTCTAGCTGGTGTCTGCAGCTCTGGAGTGGATGACACTGTTACAGATATCATGGCAAAAGGGATACCTTCTTGTGGATTTTGCCCTATTGGGGATACCCCAGTTCTGAGGGTGAGGGATGCCTGCTTCTGCAGAGTGCAAAGGCAAGGAAGGCAGAGAAAGTGCTGGGGAGGGAGGGACCTCTCAGTCTTGTGTGTGGCCTTTGACTGATGCTGAGACCTTTGGAGGAGGCTCAAGTTCATCATTTGACTCCAGTTGAGTAACTTCTGGCAGGTGGGGGAAGGGGGTGTGTGAGGGGCGAGAGTCACATCAGCTGAGCTGAGTGATCCCAGAACTGCCTGTCCCTTCTACAACTGTTGGCAGAAAAGGTTCTTTAGTGGCTTTCCTTTTCAGGATGGGGTTGGCATGACAACAGTGGGTATTTCTCCTGTGTTTATGAAAGCTGGGCTCTTAGCCCTGTATATGCTTATTAGAGGGAGGCGGGGAAGTGGAGGGAGGGGCAAGGAACTACAGCCAAGAAGACAGTCACAACCTGTCCTATTGTGGTGGCCAGGAGCTGGATAGAACAGGACAGGTTGAAAGGAAAGGACCTGATGGGGGTGCGTAGATTCAGAGACAGTTTTTGCACGAGGGCCCGGGCTGGATGGCAGACCAATCCTGTCCTTGGGATCTTTGGGCGTGTCCAGTTTTGAAAGCCTGACATTTTGGAACATCTCCCTGTCTAACTTCCGTTCCTCTAACGGCTGCATAGCCTTAGGGAGAAGATAGATGCTTGAAAAGACCTCTTCCAAGGCAGGGGCTTCCCTGGATCATGGAGTCAGAACACTGGGGTTTTTTGTTTTTTACTTCATCACTGATTTGCTAGGCAGAGTATCATAGTGGCAAAAGAATTGGATTTGGAAGCAAAAGACCCAAGTTGGAATGTGGGCTCTGCTGTTTACATTCTGTGTGACCCTAAGTTGAACCTCTTTATGCCTCAGTTTCCTCATCTGTAAAATGAAGGGATTGGACAAGTGATCTCTATAGTTTTTTCCAGCTCTTGACATTTCTATGGTCCTATGTCACTGTTCCCTCTTTGCTTCTTACACTGACCAAGGACACATGTGAGAATAAGCCAGATTCACTGATGAATCATTTCTTTGCCCTTTAAGTTTGAAAAAGAAGGTCTTGCAAATTTGAATTTCTCTTCTGGTACCAGCGAGTGTCTGAAGTGGCCTCAGACACTTGGTTAGGTGGTGCTATCCCAGGTGCCATGGCAGGGAAATACCATCTTTGGAGTTTGCCCCCCCAAAAATGGGAACTTCTTCACCACCACCCCCAACTTCTGGTGGGATGCCAGAAGAGGATGAACCAGGCTCTTGCTGGTATAGGAATAGGTCTGCTAATGGCAAGGAAATAAACTAGCTAACTTCTTAAAACCATGATGGTCATTCTACAATAAAATCAAAACTTTGGTACTTCCATGGATCTGTGATTTCAGGCACGATGCACATGAGTGATCCTTCCTTCCATGCATGTTCTAATCCATCCATGCCTTCCTATACTTTGCTGTTTTTGTCCACATTGTCTCCCAGAAGATCTACCCACTGTGTTTCTAGGCCTTCTTCTAGGTAATTTTACATTTTGTGGGCACCAGTGTGGCACTGGTAACTGGTGATCCATCAGCTATTTCTTACTCTCACTACACATTCAGCCCACCCCCTGGGACCGGCACTGGTGTTTGATGATGAGTTGGGCCCAGAATTAAACAGAAGGAAGAGTAGCCTGAGTTATGCTTGGTAAACTGAGTGGTGCTTTCAACGATTCCCAGCTGTTCCCTAGCACTGAAACCCATTTTTCCCCCCAGTATAAATGTTCTCCTTTGTCCTTATGAATCTAAGAATATCAAAACTTCCAAAGAGTCCAAGTTGCAGATAATCTGTGGTGGGTACAGGCTGCAGCCTATTTCCAGTGATGGTTCTGAGTTGCAAAAAGGATATCACTGAGGACATGGATGATTAGAGAAAATCAATATCTGCCTGAAATTGCATTTGGAGACCAGCCATAGCCTGGATAGACTGGAGTGGAGAGGGAGAGGAAGGGTAATGTGTTCTAGGAGCAACAGCTGCATACAGGCCTTTCTTGGCATTTGGCTCAGATTGAAGTGAATAAACCAGCCTCCCAGAGCTGAAAGGGACTGAGGCATTTTCTAATAATCTCTATAGCCACCTCGAGGCCTTGCCCCGAAATGAAAGGTTCTTTAGTTTCCCTTGATGCCCCAGGGAAGAGTTTTATAATTATTTTTTATTATAGATTTTTTTTGGGGGGTGAGGCAATGGGGTTAAGTGACAGCTAGTAAATGTCAAATGTCTGAGGCCGGATTTGAACTCAGGTCCTCCTGACTCCAAGGCCCTATTATAGGCTCTATCTGCTGCACCACCTGGCTGCCCCTATTATAGATTTTTGCTTAGGCCTGACTGACTTGCAATTCAGATAACAGATTCCTAGAATTTTAGAAGGATCTTAGATCCTTCTGGAATTGCGTTCAGCTGAAGTCCCCAAAGGGGGAGTGACTTAATCATAAGTCTTAAGATATAAGACTTAAAAGGTTTGCAAAGTACTTTCCTCAAAACAGTCCTGTGAGATGCAATTGTTATCGTCACAATCATCTAGAGGAAGAAACTGAGGCTCTGAAAGATTAGTCAATTCACTTTCAGGCACCAAACAAGTACCAGAGTCAGAACTTGAACCCAGATCTTAAAATTCACTTCTTTCCCCATTATATCATACTTCCTGGCTAATGATCTATGACTTAGGTGGGCCTGAAGAATCTTGGATAAGTGTCGTGTCGAAGTAGATAGGGCACTGAATTTGGAGCCAGATAACCTAGGTTCCAGGGCCGACTCTGCTGCTTATTTATTACCTTTGTGATTCAGGGTAAATTGCCTAACTATTCTAAATCTCAGTTTCCCGGTCTGTAAGATTGGTTTAGGGGGAGGAGGGAGGGAGAAGGCAGTTTGGGTTAGCTGACCCATGAGGACCTCTGCAGCTCTAAATCTCTGATCTAGCCCAATCTCCTAATCTTAAATCCAAAACTAAAGTCCTAAAAGGAAACATGACTTACTCGAGGTCACAGTACATTAGAGGACATAGCCAGGATTCAGAGCTACTTCTCCTGACTGCTATCCTGCCCCTCTTTCCACTGTATGGTGGCTGCCCTCAGGAATAAAGTTTGTGAATGGAATCTGCCTTTACCTGGATGAAATACAGCAGATTTAATGCTGATAACTGAGTTTTGCAGGAGCAGCAGCAGCAACAATGATGAAATCATAACATTATAAATGAGCTACCAACTGTGAGCTCCTAAGTTTGCTTGTGTACTTATACGATGGATGACACAGTTTACTCAGGCTCAGGGACTTCATCTTTCTGAAAATTCTTTCTAGCGGAATAAATATTCCATCCATTTGGAGTCTGGGTCCATGGTCTCTCTAGGGATCTTATTCCCAGGACCACATCCAGGCATATGAGATAAATAGTAGGGACTTGTATATTGTCGTTCAGTCGTTTTCAGTCATGTCCAACTCTTCATGACACCATCTGGAGTTTTCTTGGCAAAAATACTTGAGTGGTTTGCCATTTCCTTCTCCAGTTCATTTTACAGATGAGGAAACTGAGGCAAACAGGGTTAAATGACTTTCCCAAGGTCACACACCTAATAGGTGTCTGAGGTCAGAAAATGAGTCTTCCTGACTCCAAGCCCAGTTCTCCATCCACTGCCATACCTAGCTGCCCCAGGGATTCAAACATAGATAAGTATAATGCACAATATTACATTATATTATTAAAGTGGTACAAGCAAAGTGCTGTGAGGTAGCATCAGGAAAAGCATTCTAGAGGAAGTGGCATTTGAGTTGGGCTGTAAAAAGTGTTTAGGATTTCAACAGATGATAAGCATAAGGATGGAATTCCAGACATAGGGCACAGTGTGAACAAAGACACTGAGGCAAGAGAGTGTGAGATAGGTTTGGGGAACAAAGCAGTCCAGTTAGACAAGAGCATTGAATGAGTAGAGAAGTAAATTAAAAGAGTATTATATATATATATATATATATGATATATATATATGGTGATAGATTGTGGAGGGCCTTGAGTGACATACTAAGATGTTTAAATTCTTATTCAGTAGACTAAATGGAGTCATTGAAGATTTTTGAGCATATGAACTAGATCTGTGTGTAAGAAAGATTACTTTTGCAGAATATATGAAGATTGGTTTAGAGGGACAGGTGGTAGGAAGAGCTGTTAGGGGTTATGGCAATAATACAGGTATATGGTCAAAGGGACCTGTACAAGGGTACTGTCAATGGGAATAGAGAAAAAGGAAAGGTTACTACAGATGCTGTGAAGGATAGTTGACAAGACTTGGTTGCTGACTGGATATGGTGAGAAGGAAGAAGAAAGAGTTGAAGGTAAGTCCAAGGTTTCAAACATAGGAAACTGAGTTTGTGTGCGGTACTGCTGCTGCCACAAACAGTGGAAGAAGGAATTTTTAGGGGAAAATATAATAAGCTTGACTGTGGGTATGTTGAAGTTGATTTATTTGTGGGATTGATGGATTTATCCATGT